TATTCCCGGTTAATAAATATTTCCATATTACCTTTAAGTATTTTAGCCAGCATTTTAAATTAATGTACAAAATAATATTAATTCAAAACCAAAGACTCAAGTTGGATTTGAATTGGGAGAAAATTAGATGTCTAAATATGAAACTTGCTAACTTCCAGTGCTGCTGTAATTTTTTGTTTTTAATTTTCAATGCTTGCAAAAAGGACCTGTTTTTAGATGAAAGTCTATGTATAGCAGTCACAGTAGCACTGTGTGGTGATAGTTTTGCTACCTAATGGTGACATTCCTAATTCTCAGACAGATGAAATTTTAAAAATCTTCACAGCTTGAAGGACTTAAATATATGTTTTGCACCTTTGAATCTATTTCTGTGATAGTGTTTTATCCTAGCTGAGAATTTAGTCCAGGAATTTATGTTTTAAAAGTGCAATGCAGTTGTAATGCTGTATTTCATTTTGTACATTTGTTTAAAAAGAACATGAAGTGCACAAACAGAATTGAGTGGATGTATGCTCACATTTAGATCTATAAGAGGAATACATTGGAACTATATAGTTTTTATGTTTGTTAAACTGGAACTTTTTAAATATTTATTACATTTCATATAGCTGCCCACTTTACCCAGCTGACCTTTGTACTCTTTTGTGAATAATGTAGCTGTGTTTATTTTAGAGGTTATACATTTAAATAAAGGCACATAAACAATCTGCACAATTACTCTTCTTTAAATGACTCCTCTTTTACTAAATAATGAGCTTTTAATATAGGTACAAATGAGGGACTTTCAGTTTTATAAAAAAACTTAAAATGTAATTTGGGGAAATAATTTGCTTAATTGGGTGTTCTGTGTGGATAAAAGGCTATGAAAATATCTTGTAAAAAGAGAAGTTACAATTTATTGAGTATAAAACTCAAAGACATTCTCACTTCAAGCAGTGGCCAAATCTTTTGTGAAACAGCAGGAGAAAAATGATGATGATGATTGCCTACAGCAGTGTTTCTTAACCTTGGCGACTAAGACATGTGAACTTCAATTCCTAGAATTCCCCAGCTAGCATGCCTAGAGCACAAGGTATGTAGCCTTAAATTGTGAAGTACTTTCTGGCAGCTCTTCCTGATTCAACACCCTTCTGCAAGTGTACCCTTTAGGTTTGTTGGACTATGACTATGTTCATTCAAACCGTTAAACTTAAGGTATTTTATACTGAGTGAGCCTGATCATCACCATAAGCAATAATATTTGTTTTGGCATAGCATGTTGTCTGACCACAGCCATTGTGACCTATTGCCCATGATTTCTGGTTTAGTGTCTTGTGATCACAACAGGTACATCCCTGTCAACCTCCATGAACTTAGCTATAATGACCGAGAATGTTTGGGGTTGTTATCTAGTATATCAGAAAAGAAGCAGATGAAAAAAGATTGACATAGAATTGTTGAGAATCAGGCGGCATACAAGTGTAACATTATTATTACAGTTATGGCCAGTGGAAATGATGCCATTTGTTTCTTACTGACATACAAAGATATGAAGGCATTTCTTAAATATTTCAAGAAATGATTTTGTGTTAAAACTTTAATATTTTGCAACAAATGCAGGAAAAAAACAGTTCATCAAATTCAACTGAGTCAGTTGGACCTTAGATACTAACCCAATCACTGTTCAACCATGAACTTTTTAGTGTTGCCTTAGTCATTGGTTTACTTTTCATAGGACAAAGGCAAAAATGTTCTCACATATTTCCCTATGCTCACTGGAAAAAGGCCAAAATGATATTTCATGTGCAAAATATGTATTTTAGAATCCAATTAAGAACTTTGTCCTGTTCAAATCTATGCACCTTCTGTATCTGTTGAGCTGCTAATGTCTTTCTAAAACAGAAACAGGAACTTAGACTCCTTCAGATTTTGGAGATCTACTGCTCTCTTCAGTTGTAATTTTCTTTTCATCAAATTTAACTTCCATTACTTTGTGTAAATCTCTAAGAGATAGACCAGCAAACAGACACTAACACCTGGAGGTCTTAGGTTCCCAAACTCTGCTCTAAACCATATTTTTCACTGCAAATACTTCTTTGCTAGGCAGTTTCAAATGAGTTCACCCATGCTGTTAAGGAAAATCTTTAGATTATGTTCACTCATGTTACACATAAGAAAACTTATATTGGAACTATATAAAGTTTTTATGTCTGCTAAACTGGAACTTTTAAAATATTATTTATTACATTTCATATAGCTGCCCATTCCAATGGACTCTGGGTGGCTTACAAAATATAATACTAGATTAATACAATTAAAAACTTAAACAAAACAAGGCAGCCTGGACTAAGAAGCCGATTAAAACATAGCACAACACCCCTCCCCCGACGCACATTAACCCTGGGCCTGGGACCAAAGCCAGGTTTTAAGGGCTTTTCAGAACCCAGGAGAGAAGCGAGGCTGCAGCAGAGAACACACGCTTCCTATCTCCCACAAGATGACAGTCTTTAATAGAAGGGATCTGGAGTGTACCCACTCTGCTTGAATGTACTGGTGGGTGGAAACAATGAGAGAAAGGTGGTCCTTCAGGTAACCAGGCCCTGTACCATGAAGGGCTTTAAAGGAAAGAAGCCAACTGGTATCCAATGAGGTTCACAGAGCAGTGGTGACACATGGGCATAATGAGAAGTGCCCATTACTGTTCACATTGCTGCATTTTGAACCAGCTGTAGCTTCTGGATGGTCTTCAAGGGCAACCCCATGTAGAGTTTCATTGCAGTAGTCCAATTGTGAGGTGACCAGGCAATGAGTGACCATCAGCATGGCCTCCTGGTTGAGGAAAGGGCAGAACTGGCAGACAAGATGTATCTATGCAAAGGCCCTCCTGGTCACAGCTGCCATCTGCTCTTCAAGCAGTAGCTGTGAGTCCAGGAAGAGTTCCAAGTTGCATACAAGTTTTGAAAAGAGAACTACAACCCCATCCAAGACCAATGATGGAGATGTCCCTGATCTTGGGAGGCCAAATAGCTCCAGCCACTCAGTCAGGATTGAGCCAAAATCTGTTCTTCCCCATCCAGATCTGAACAGCCTCCAGAAACTGGGTTAGTACCTATTTCCCTCTATGCACTTGATAGGGAATGTTAGTTGAATCTCACAAAGCAAAGATACTGGAAGCAAGGGGAAAAGCTTACTGCCATATACCTCTCAACTGAAACAGCAACAGCAAAGTAATATTTCTACTATTAAGAATACTCAGGACAAAGTATATAATAACTTTGTCTAATAAACCAAAATTTGGGCTGCTCAGATAAGTCAGGTAGATCTCATACTGTATATTTCTAAAGTATATATGGACATTTGTAAAATTTGGGAATTTACTTGATGTCTGAATTCCTTTAAATATCTTGGAATAATATCATAAGGAAAAAATGTTTGTAGAATCTCTAACATCTTTGGATTTCATAATTTGGTCCAGACATGTAAGCAGCATTTAAAATTATTGAATTACTATAACATGGAAATGTGTTTGGACATTTATTAACTTTACATTATTTTTATAAACAATTAGAGGATTGCTAAGGTGGATATTAGTTACTTGTAAGTGCTTTGGAATAAAACACTGGAACACCTTTTAAACACATCAATGATTAAATAAGTTAAATAATATTAAATAAGTTTCTTGTAATTGTAAAATGAGATTAAGCCAACAATATATTTTCTCATGTTTATTGGCCATCTCAGACAATGTTTAAACAGGGCGGGTTGTCATCTTTACTACACTGGAAATATAAAATGATGGAGACGCAAAATAAGTATTACAATACAGTATTTATTGCAAACTATGCTTCTTATGTTGTATAATGCACAATATAATGTTTTGGATTTTACTTTTTCTTATCACATTCTTATATGGATATTGTTGTAGAATTTTTGAAATACGTTTTTGTCTTTTAATGTCCTTGACAAAGTGTTTTGTCAGAAACACATTAGGCTTTTACAATAACATACCTTCACTGGCATTTGGGATTTTTTACTTCCCCCTTTTTTCAGTGCCTGCCCTGCTTTTCCTGAATGTTAATCAGAAGCCTAGACCATATCTAACCAAGATGGATTAAGGCATGATACAGACCAAATAAGTTACCTATTGGTTTAAGCATGTTGCATGAACCAAGCAATTATGCTTGGCTTTAAGCCATAGTTTATGAAATGGAATGGCTAGGTTCTCACATTGTGCTAAGAGACAGACAAATCATATGATTCAGAGCAATGTTTCTTAAACTTTTTTCTCTCAGGACCCCTTCCCATTTTTAATAATTATGGAGCTTTTGTTTGTATGGGTTATATTTATCAGTATTTACCATTTTAAAAATTAAAACTGATGCATTTGCTAACTCTATCGCTTCTCATGATAGTTTGAGGGGATTTTAATACTGTATTATTTTTCAACATAGACTGGCAAGTATTTTTGATTTCAGGGACCTCTGAGAGGGTCTTGGGGGACCCACAGGGGTCCAAGAACCACACTTTAAGAAACACTTATTTAGAGCAATATGTAAACCTATCCAGTTTTTGATTAGATGTGCACGCAAGGGTTGCTTGGTTGGTTGGGTTAAACTTTTCAGATCAGGAGAATTTGCAACGAGGAGCAGGAACGTTTGTTTCCTCCCAATTATTTATCCCGCGACCCAAATCAACTTGGGTTTACTAAATGTGTGCTTCAGTATAAGGCTGCCCTTAGTTTTCCAGGGGTGGTTTCCATCACTGGCCGTTCCGGCTGGGACTGAGGAGCGGCGGGGGTCACCGAGATCGGATAGTCCCGTGGTTCCCCAACTCGGACGGCCCTACTTATTTTCCAGCAGACCTGCGTTTGAGGGGGGAGTGGCGGAGGGCTAAGGTTCCCTTCAGTCCGAAGCCCCGCCCCCTCTAGTCTTTCGGCACTTGCCCTTTTGCTCCTCCACCCATTCCCTCCCCGAGGCCAGCGCGCGGCTCGGTTGCCCGGCAACCTTCGGGCGTCTCTGTCAACTGCAGCCATGTCGGACGAAGAGGAGGCGGTGGCTGAGGCTGAAGAGATCATTCGCAGCCAGAGGATCTTTCTCAACCATTTGGACAGCTACGGCGGCAGGAACATCGGGAAGGTGAGGGCGCAAGGCTGCACAGCTCGGGAGCGGGAGGGAGGGTGGTCGTCCGCTTTGGGGCACGCCACGGACCCGCCAGATGCATCCCCATCGCAGCAAGGAAATGGGAATTGCAGCCCAATCTGTAGGGAGGGTGGGACGTTGGGAAAGGGGTGGGATTTTTTTTTCTAGTCGTGATAATAAATTATAACTCTTTCAACAGGTTAATTCGGGGGGGGGGGAGAAAGGAAGTGAGGGATGTCTGATTATTTATTTGTTAGACCTTGGTAGTTGATGGCATACGTGTAAAGAATAAGTAAGATAGCCAGCTTTTCCCTCAGGCGTTCAAAGAAGTCAATTTTTCCATCCCACTATATTCAGTGAGGTAGTCTGCAGTAGGATTTGGGGATTGGGCCAAGAGCATTCAAGGATCTTCCCAGTGCTTTAATCTTTAAACCCCACTGGCTCTGTATTTGAAGTAAAATGTTTATCTTCAAAATAATTTACAAAGTTAAGTTATTGCAGTTTTATCCCATGTCAGTTACAGTTTTACCTGATACGGGAGTCCTCCTTCTGGCTTTTATCTGCAGGAACTCAATTAGTCATCATGAGCTCTGCATGTTCTGTTCTAGGAGATAAATAATGATTATGAAGGGTATAGGTATGTGATCTGAATCAAAACAGAGGCATGAAAAGAAAGAATCAGCTTGACTTTGTACAGCATCATATTTGCAGTCCAAATTAGTCTTTTCTCCTATGTTGCTTGTAACCAAGTACAGTATTTTCAAGGCTTTTTCTTTATCTCCTAATTGCATTCTTAAAACTGCTTTGTGAAGATTAAACCAAGATGGAATGGCTTTTCCATATTCATATCTATATCTCTGTATCTCTGTACCTCTCTCTCTCTCAGACAGGATTTTGAATATTTTGTGGCTGTGCTTGTATAACACGCTTGCAATGGTTTATTCAATTAATTCAATTAATCAAAATGGTTGATTAATTATTAATTAATAAGATTGCAATAAGAGTGCATAGGATTATTCAAGAGTGCAATGGTTTATTCAATTAATTCAATTAATCAAAAGTTCTAGTGTTACTCAACACCCACTCAATTAAGTGCATGGGAGTTCACACAAGATTGTAGGCTAAAATGTGGCTGTCTAGTTTGTCATGCAAACATAGCCATCCTATATATTCTCCAATACTTTGTCAAAGCCAGGTCTCAAACTCCCCCTTAGCAGTGACAGCAACATCACTATGAAAAAGTCCAAGCATTTCCCCACTTTCTATTTTTTATTTTTATCTCATTGTTATCCTCCTGTTTATGTTGTTTTTACAGTCCTTGTCTGGGGGTTTAAGCTGTAGTTTCAGTAGTAATTATGATTGGTTTTAATCAGATTGTGAATGTTTTAACATCTTATATTCTCTATACAGTGTGCCACCAAGAAAAATTGATTGTGGCAAGGTAAAAGTTTGATAAATAAATATGTCTCATATTTAGACAAAATGGGAAGCTGTGGTTTGTTACAAACTATGGGTGAAAGTTTTGGGTTTTTTTTTCTTATTGAAGAAGAATAGGACAGCAAAAAGAGAAAATAAGAGTGCATAGGACCATGGCTCATATCAGCTTGTTGTTTTCACAATGCTCTGCTGTTTGTTAGGTCTATTTGTTACTTTGTATTTGGCTGAATAGAAATATGTATGTGTGCGTGTGCATGTGTTTGTGTGTGTGTAATGGTACGTGGTAATGACCTTGGGAGACAGGAGGGAGAGCTACAGACTGGACAATTGGCATGTAAAAGATACCTCAGTCCACAGAAGGAGGAAGGGTGGGAAACATTTCATATGGGACCCTCTCTAGTTTTCCAGAGACTAAAAGGTATACTTTCAGTCTTGCAAGATTCTGTTAATGTAACCTTATAACTCAGATAGAGCTAGTACTCCTGGTTGTGCTTCTTGTCTGCTCTACCTCATATATGTTGCCTAGAGCTTCTGGTGGAAAAGTGGGAGAGAGAGAGAGAAGGAGAGAGAGAGAGAAAGATTTTATTTATTTAAAAACTTATATGGTTGCCCATCCTATATACCATAACTCTGGGTGGCTCATAGCAACAATAAAAACATATGAGAAACAAAATATGTAAAAAGAAATCCCACGAAACAGTGCCTGTGACTCTAAAATGACACTCCCATATAGCAAAAACAATCACTGGGCTCCAACCTTACCCCATCCCAATGCTTGGGGGAAGACCCAGCTTTTTAAGTTTTTCTGGAAGGCTAGGAGGGCGAGGCCTGCCAGATCTCAGGGGTGACTGTGTTCTACATGGCAGGGACTGCTACTCAGAAACAGTACTGTTTCTTCCTAGGTCCTGCTACTGTAGATGACAACCTTGAGATAGATGGATGGATGGATGGATGGATGGATGGATGGATGGATGGATGGATGAAATAAGAAATAATCATGGCTAATAAATACGGAATTATATTTCACCATCTTACTATTTATTTTACATTGTAAGTATCTGGCCAGTTGTATTGTTGGAGCCTCCTTGGAAGAAATACCAGAGGAAGAAGAAGAAGATGATGAAGGAAGATCAATTGTTGAAATTGTGCCCCCTAAACCAAAGGAAGGAATATATCAAATAGTGGGAACTCTTTCACAGGCAGAGAATGCAAAACCAGATTTTGCTATGGAAGCATATACAGTAAGTATTTATTTCATTTAATAAAATACTAATCCTACAAAATTCTATATGTGCAGATGACTCAATTAGAATTTTTCATGTTGCAGGGTCTGACAGAATAAAGCAGCAAAAGATAGCATATTGTGTACATAGGCATTCTTGGGGGGCAGAAGGAGTAACAAATAACAAAGTGGGTACTGTAATATAATACAAACTCCAGTCCTTTTCTACATGCACTGCAGCATCACATGCCGAGCTGTGATGTCAATGGAAATCAGGGGGCAGAGCTTGCAATGTCATGAGGCATACTTCATCATTCTGACCACTTCTCCTGGTTCAGTGGACACCTGGCCATAAAGTCTATATCCCCTGCTCAGTGCAGGAATTCAGATTTAAGCATTACATATATATGGCTGTATAGCCTCCATCAGTGAAGAGGTACTCAGTGTCTCGAGTTATGAGCAGTCCCTCTGCTGAACTGTTCTAATTGTTAGTTTTTCCTAACTTTCAAGTGGAATCTACTTTCTGCATTATTCTGGGTTTTGCCCTTTGAGACAATAGAAAACATGTCTTAACCTTATTTATGACAGCCATTCAGGAACTTTAAAAGTGCGATTACATCCTCCTCTCAATCATATTTTCTCAGTGCTAAATATAGCCAGTTCTCTTGGTCTCATCTTGTAAAATTAGTTTTGAGTTCTCATATTATCTTTAATGCTCTTCTCTTAATGTGTTGCCCAGAACTAGTCATAATGCTCAGAATGTGTTCTGTCAGTGCAAAACATAGTGGAACTATTATTTTCTGTTATTTGGAAACTATATTGCACTGTTACAGATTCAAACATCATATCTCTTTTTATCTGGGGCTGATTCATATACAGCTTATCCATATACAGTGCAATGCATGCACTGTTATCAAACTAAATATTCTGCATCCTATATTTGTGCAGTGCTTTCCTTGTTGCACTCCAGTTGATATTTCATACTTGTTTGATGAGAAATCACTGAAGAGTACTTTATGGATTTCAAGCTAGTTGTGTCTCCCCCTCATAAACATGCCAAATTTTATTTTTGGTGGCTAAGTTCAGCCAGGCAATGAGGGATTTATATGAGAGAAATATCAATGGGGGGAAAAAAGCACAATGACCTAAGATAAGTTGCTTGTTTTTAGATACCTTCTCCAGATGAGTTGCTAGCTCACCTGTTAGAATGTGATATCATTATTTACAACATCACTGAAGATGCAAAGCAAATTGAGGAAGCAGTCTGGGCAGCTACAGGTCAGTCAGATTAATTCTTTATTTTAAATAGTATGAAGAATACAAATAACCTCGTATTGCCCTATTCTGGGGAGCAGATGGTAAATCTAGCATGATTCAGCAAGTAAAGCATTAAATTATAAAGCATTTTCTCAAATCCTTCAGAAATTGACTTGGGCATATGTTGCTATTCTTTTTCCTTTTTTTTATTTGTGCTGAATTTACACTCATTACACTAAAACATTCATACTGAGTAAATATTCTTCCAGTGACAATGCTGGTTTAAATGGCTTGATCCAAGTGTACAGGTGAACTCTAGCAGTGCTTATCATAATGCCTAAATTGAAATGTATGGGATATGCTCCTTGTGATGCGATAGAGGATCACCTGTTTGAGTGGATGAGTCTTCCAACTCACGTCAGCTTCAAAATTATCCTGGGTAATCATATCAGCAGAAAGCAGTCAAGGAGAGGCAATGAAAAAGTGTGAAATCCTGATATGTGTGTATCAGTCTTTGTGAATGCATCTTCTCCTATTAGGCACTCTCCATATGGACTGTATAGTTATATCACCCCACCAACTGGTGATGGGTGGGCATTACAGGAATTTGGCAATACATTAATTGGTAATTCTATTGCTGGTGTGGGTCTTCCGGGCTCCCGGGTCTTCCAGGTAATTCTATTCTCTGTGTAGTCCTGGGGAAAGATAAAGCCCTCAACATTTGTGATAAGGTATAAATAGAAGTTTTTCTATTTATATTAACCTATACACTATAATATAATTATTCAGCATTACATGCAGAATCAAAAAACTTTGAAAAGCAGAAATTGTTCATTCTTCTATCAACAATAATGACATGGGCACGAAGCAAGCCTCTTGATCCGGTGAGTGAATGGAGAAGCAAACAGATATATAATACAATACAATTAATTTTACTGAATAGTTTTTTAATAGCATGAAAACAGATTAATTCTTGCTAGTTCATACTATATTTCAGTTAATGGGAATATTTATTCATTTATTTTATTAAATTTAGAGACCAGCCAACTCCAAAAGTTTGAGTGGTTTAGATTTTGAAAGTAACAACAATAAAACAAGAAAGAGAATGAATCTCCAGAAGAAATAACAACAACAAAAAGATCCCAAAGAAAAAAAGCCAGGGGTTCAGCAACCACTCTACCCCCAGGCCTAAGAACAAAGCCAAGCTCTCAAAGATTTTCAGTATATCATAAGTGGTGTTACAGGCGCTCCCAGGTTCAGCTTATCATTCGGTCATTCATTCACACACTCACAACCTGTTGAGGCATGCAAATCTTGTAAGCCCCCCTTGCTTTCTACCTGGGTTTTCCAGAGAACAGACAAGACACACAACCTTGGGCAACAGGAGGAAAGTAATAGGGACATGCACACATCACTTTCAACTGAACACTGAGGCACAACAGGTTCTTTGGAATACACAGAGTCCCAGTGAATTTAAAGTAACAGCAAACATTTACTGGTTATGTCAGAAAGCAAACTTACGAGGTTCGTCTCCCGAGCCGGGAATAAACACACAGGCGGTTGCTTGAAAGAGAGAGAAAACTTTATTTCGGAGAGCCAGATACACAAGATGATCAGCTGTCTCAGCTGTCCGGGCTTCCCAGGAATCCCTTTTATAAGGAAGATCCTTAAAGGGTGCAAGGGAAACCTGCCCTCTTCAATTGCTTAGAAAAGGTAATTAGCTGGGATACCAGGAGAGAGCTTTGGCCTGTGAAAGTGACTAGGGAGCAATTGACTAGGGGGCCTTCTAAGGTCAGGGACCCTACTGAGCTGGGGTTTCCTGTGTTTGCCTTATCTGGTATTG